CGATAAAGTGCCGTTCTGTGCTAAGTGTCCCAATTACCTGAGGTAGACACTCTTGGTACACCCCCTTGTGGGCTTTGTGCACAGTCTTGTTTTAGTTAAGCCTTGATTGTACTTGGTATCACTGGGAGGAACTGACCTCCAGGCCAATTGGCTGTGAGAATCAGCTGTGTCTACGGTGGGAGAACTTCAGTGCTGGAGACACCCCTCCGGGGCAAGACTTGCTTCAATGGGGCTTTGGTGCTCACTGAGTCTGCCCCCTGAGTGTGTCCTTTATGGATCCAAGGAGCTGTAATCTGGATGATCCCACTCTGACCTCTGGCCCACTCTGACCTCTGGGTTTCCTGGCTCCTGGATCCCGAGGGAGGTGCTAATCTAGCGTTTGCCTGAGGCTATCCAGCAAAAGCCTCCCTGCAGGGCTTGGGCGGGGCGGGTCCCACGGGTTCAACAGGGCGGGGCTAGCAGTTATGGTGGCTCTCAGTCCTGCCCTCAGAGACTCTGCTTCTCAATGTCCCAGTAATCACTGCAAGCCCCTCGAAGAGAAAGCTGCCCTTGAGTTCCGACCGATGCCAGACAATCCCTCTTCTCCCGTATGAGTCTGGGTCCCTAGAGACTCATCTGGAACTGGAGCTCAGAGCCTGAGACTCCCTCCCGATTGAAAACGACAACCGAGCCCTCAGCCACCAGCCTGCTCTGCAAGCACCTCCACACCTTAGTGTTTTACTTCCGCACTGCGCCTCCTCTGAGTCTCGGTATGCTTTTCTCTTTCCTTCTAGTTGTAGAATTTCCACTCAGCCAGCCTTCCTGTGGTTCTGGCTGATGTCCATTCCATCTTTTAGTTGTATTTTTGAAGTGGTTGTTCAAGGCAGCAAACTCTGGTGTTTACCTATGCTGCCATCTTGGTTTCTCTCCATAAACTACGTTTTAGAGAGGGACAGCAGCTGGCTCAAGATCATAATTCTAATTCAGTAGTTCTCAGCAGGGGACAATTTGGACATGTCTGGAGACATTTTTGGTTGTCACAACTGAGAAGTGCTACTGGCATCTAGTGGGTAGAAGCCAAGGAATGCCACCAAACATCCAACATTGCACAAGGCAGATCTTAGAGAATCATCCAAACTAGAATGTAAATAGTGCTGAGATTGAGAAATTTGGTCCAATTGGAGAATCAGACTTCCTAACAAGTGCAAACTTACTTATTATACCTTACTAGTATATATTAAAAAGGGTTGGTAAATATCCAGGACTTAGAAATATGTTTGTTAGATTTTGCTTGTAATGGTACTGGTTTTTCTACCAGCAAAAGGAGTACTGATAGTTCACCATTGAAACAATTTTGAATTATTTTTCTTATAAAGATGACCCTATGCATGTAGTCATCTATACATTTTCTTCCTCCACTCCTCCCCAAGGCTAAGCATTTCTAGAACAACTGGCTAGAGCAGGAGGCTCAGGGGTGATTTCCTAGGGTTGAAAAGAATGCCCAAAACTTTTCCCAGAGTGAGCTCACCTCAATCTCAGTGGCATCACTTTTTGCCCTGCTCAACTCAAATTACTCAAACAGCACACTGTGTCATAGACAGTTCCTGGGTTGTCCTTGAATCGAAAGGATGGCTCCAACCACCTCAACTTCTTGTCATAGCTTCACCTCAATTTTGGTGGTAATTCCTAGGAGCTGCATTGTCAGTTCCTCAGTCTTCTCATTGGCACTAAGGATTGGTCATGATTCCATCTGGGACTGGGATCATTCAGGGCAGAGTGAATGCCTTCCAACTCAGAAGCTGAATCGACTTGGGTCACTTATCTGCAAGGCATTATACTGTATCCTATGGGAGGTGTAACAGCCTTGGCTGATGTGGCTCAGTTGATTGGGGCATCATCCCATATACCATCAGGGCACATATTTGGGTTGTGGGTTCAGTCCCTCATCAGGCTGCATGCAAGAGGCAACAATCTCTCTCTCTCTCTCTCTCTCTCTCTCTCTCTCTCTCTCTCTCTCTCTCCCCCTTCCTTCTCCCCTTCCTCTCTCTAAAATAATTTTTTTAAAAAGAAGTGTAACAGATGGTCCTTGTCTTCTGGGAATTGACAGTCTAAATTGAAGGAAAATAATAAATTCATGTGAAGAAATAACCAATGGTTCA